TGAATGTGTAGGTATGCTCTTTTGGTGCCCCCCATGCTAAAAACTTACAAAGCCAGATGGACGGATCCTATTCTATCGGAAACATATAAACTAATAGTACATTTACACATATAGTATCTATATATATATATATTTATCGAATGAACATTCGCGATAGAAAATAAGCTTACATCTGAGTTTTTGAAAGATCTCATGGCGGTCTGTTAACTTTGTTTTCATTGGTTCACATTTGTTTTTTGTTTGTGCTTATTGGTCATATCATCAAAAAAAAAATCGCTCAAAAGTGTACAAGTTGTTGCCGTCAGGACGGGGCCACGTGTTATTTTCTATCGCGAATTGGGAAAGACATAAGCGGATATAGATCTTTAGTAGTTTCATTAGGAGATTCAACTCATTCAAAAGGTTTACTTGAACAGAATCTTCTTTGATAAGATAATCAAACATAACCAGGATAGATACAATATTGAGAAAAAAAAAACAAGGAAGAATGAAAAAGCTGATAGATCTTTCCATTATAGATGCTCGAGCCTCTGATCAGAATGTTTTGGGTAGGGGCTAATTTTTCATTAGAGGGGCTTATCATCCCATCCTTCATATTTCCGCCTATGTTAACCTATGAGCAAAATCGTTTGATGAATTTAGACCGTCGGATTTCGATTGGTCTGATAAATGCATAAAAATCAATAAAAAACTCGATACAAAAAACATACAAAAAATACTCAATGGAATTTTCAGAGTAAGATATACATGCAATCAAATGCTCTATCATTCTACGCTGATCTACTAGACATAATAACATTTATCATGTTTACGTAGTTTGGTTATTGATACATCTAACTTACTATAGAATATATACTCTCTGAAACGATTCATGAATTCACAATTTCTGCATGTAAAATACAAAAACGAGAACGACTGATAGGCCATATAAGAACAAAACAGTATCAAACAGACAAAATGTTTTGCTTGTCGTTCAACTGTTCAGTGAGTATGATAGCTGAACAAGGTCTATTCATTTCAAAGCAATACACAGGGATGCCTGCTGACATACCTTTACTATTTCAATGGCATCTATGCTTCAATGATATCTTATGAAAACATGAACATTTCTAAAGAAAATCATGGTACAATATATGAATAAATCGCATAGATATGCAGAATTTTGTGATTGGTAGTTTATCAAAGGTTCAATAATTCCTACCCTCGGTAGGGTGAAATTAAAAATCTTCCATTTTTTATCAGTGTCTGAGCTAGCTAGGTAGGCGATAATTTGTGTAATCAGTGCAACTGATGAAACTTTAGTGCTCGGCATGTTTTTGACGCACTTGCCAATTCAAAAATTATTCAATAGCACTAAAGACATTTTGGACAGGAGCTGCACAGTTATTTTTTCTATAAACCTACTACAACAATGAGAAATAGATAAAATAATTACGAGTTTACCTATTATCACCCTATATGTGGTGAAATTCATTCATCGTAATAGTGGTCATGACATGAAACATTTTGCGCACAACATTGTACCTTGTTAGGTAACGAGAACATTAAATAACAAAAACAATGATTTCTTTCACTGAAATTTATAAAAAATATCAGCTTCGTCGACAGTGGGAAAAAACAATTTGAGACTGGGACTAGACAAACATTTTCGGCGACACAGTTCTCCATAGAACTAATAAGTGTCCTTCAGTTCAAAGTGCGGAATTGGGCTCTATCTGACATTGGAAGTTTACTAGTTGAAGCTTGTTTGCTCAAAATCAAGTAAGGAATTGGTCAAATAAATTACTGAAAAAAAATTGAGTTTCGTTTGTATTTCATGAAGTAATTTTGAATTCAAATATCATTGCTAGATTATGTACAATCCATTTCAGGAACGTCAGTCAAATGGGTTAAACTTATGTAAATTATCTACGTTTTCTATTTCGTCCCCTTTGAGATTGTTACTGAGATGGAGTAGGTATTTTGTAAAAGTAACCTAGTTACACACAAATATCAAGATACCAATAACAGTGTTGTACATCATTATAGATAATAATACTTTTTATTTTACACATATAACTACATTATAATACACCAGAGGGAGTCTAGGCGTCACCATCGAAATCTCGATGGTAACGGTCTAGGTAATGACAAATAAGTCATTTGGGTTTATTTCAATATTATCGGGAACATTGAATATTCCACAGAAGTATTTCAGGTTACAAGTAAAGCTACCAGTTTTTCAGTCAGTCTCCAACATATTTCACAAATATCGGCATCACCGAATATTCCACCGCGAAGTTGGTACCTATTTCATATTATTTCAAGTAGAATAAATGCTTTTGGCATTATGGTACTTCAGTCTCTTCATTGAATGTTGAAGTTGATTCAAAATCGTACACGACAGCATTTACTCAGTCCTCTTAATGAGCCTATAAAAATAATTTGAAACAAAATATAGGTGATTCAGGAATTCATATTATTCTCACCTGTATATACACTTTCACCAAATTTCCACATAATAAGAAAACGTCCAACAGTAAACATACATTCAAGCAATATGATATTTTGAAATAAAAACATTTTTACAAAGTAGTAAATATTGCCTCACATTGTTGTTCATCCAATCACAAATTTTGGAAATAATGTTTCTCCTCATGCATAAAATATTTCTAAATAGTGACACTGCCATAAAAAAAATGAAATGATTAATTGTGTAGAATACATTAAGAATAAATAATGTTCATATAGCGTGTGACCAGAATGCGGAATATATAAGGGATTCCACAAATTGAAGAATGAAAAGAAAAGATGTATATACTATTTAACGATCGTAAATTCCACTCACATGCTATTAATGATCGAACAATATGAAATTGTAGCAGCATGTACATGTTGATCATCTCGTTCATTTTTGCGAAAAAATATTCGACTTTAGAGTAAAAAATCTCCCGTTATATTGTTGAAAGATAGTTTTTAATTAATTTCGTTTTTGACAAAACATCATCAGTTTGTATACAAATGAAATACTTGAATTCTAGCTACAGTGATATCATGAGATTTGTTTTTCTATATTATGAATTGACTCGGCCGTTACTTGATGGAAATCCATAGCAAATGTAAAAACTTCACAAACAATAAGATTTCCACAAAATTCTTAATCACATGACATGTTTCGCTAACACAGTAGATTCATCAGGTGAAATAGTGGTAAATTGAAAAAAAAAAAAAAGTACAGTACCAGTATTTCACCTGATGAAGCTACTGTGATGTGATTAAGAATTAAGTCATAGTGACAACCATTTCATTTTGACTGGACAAGACGTGAACGAGTTCAATCATGAGAATGATTGAAATTGTTTCTATACAAGAGGAGGCCCATTTGAAATCAGAATATCTGGATCAATTCCTGTGAGAATCATATCATACAAAATAACAAGAGAATCTGTAGGGATTAACATGTCAGCAGTCATGCTCATGTCAATAAATGTCCTTTCAAGAATCAAATCCGACGTGCCACAGCATCTTCTCATGAGTTATTTAAAGATTTTCGATTCAAATGGGACACCCTGTATATATTTCAAACCATCGATCAACTGCAGTGATTACTAAACGAATGCCACATTATAAGGTATCCTCCTTATAAACGAGATGTCATTACTATCATGTCCATTTCTGAAATTTAAAAAAATCGTTCACAATGCATCGTTTTCATTTATAAGATGGCCCAACGATGGTCCAATTACATGAAGGTTTAGGGGATAGCATAGATACAATGAAACACTTCAACACATTCATGGAGAAGGATTTTCTCCCTATTTTTACATTTTCAGTTTAACCCTCATGCTGTATGTCAGTACTTTACCTGTTTGATATGTTCAAGCTCCACATTCTGGAAATGTTACCGTTCTTTACAACAATAATACACTCTTCAAAGCCCCCATGTCAAGTTTTCGTTGGATCACCCTGTGAAAGTTTCTGGACCTTCTAGCTAGATCCTTTTTATGCCTTTCCATTTTTCATATTTCTCTCAAGAAATAACAGAAATGTACGATTATTGCAATTAAGACTAGTGTTTATAAAATTATGAAGAATGAAAAGATTTACTGATTAATTTTCACAAGGAAAGCAAAATCAATAATTTTTCTTGTACACAAGAATATCCTAAGAAAATCTTATTAGTGTCTTCTGGACATGTCATGGGATTCAAATGAAAAATTTTCTGAAGATATTCAAAGGTACAATTCTACAAATTCAATGTTCTCATTGTATACCTGTTTGTAACATGAAATACTATTATTTCTGTTTATTATTCAAAAGATCCATGGTTACAAGGGGAGTTTCTGTAAATGAAACAAAAAAGACATATTATAAAATTCGAAAATCAGGGTGAACGGATTGGCATTGGCGAGTGATCAATAATTAATAGACGGGCTAAAGCTTAGCTAACATGTATATGTCAATATGAGCATGATTGGTTATTATTCCTATAACATACCTACTATGCCACTAACAAAACACTACACATTCAATGATATATCAACGGTCTTGTTAAACATTTCCAAACGAAAGCGAATGGCAGTTTCTTTAGATTACACTATATCCAGCAAGATCTCACTTCACATTTTGAAAATGATTCTCCTATGTCGGCCCAGCAAGACAACAACAACAACAACAACTGGTAACATAAATCTGCATCCTAGACCGCCGAAGAAAAAAACTTCCCAGTCGATGGCCACATTTTATAATCTACAATAATCTCGCTCAACATCACCTTCACGGTGATTTGAACAGAGGAGCCTATCACAAAACTGAACAATAATAATCTCAATCAATAAATCATATGTCAGACTGGAAGATGATCTCTTTAGCGGCAAAACGAATGTTCCATAAGTAATGTTCAAGACAATGATCATGAAAAATATAAGTATGAAAGAGAAAAAAGTAGGTGACAAGGAAGATAACAAGAACATTTCTGGAGGGGGGAGGCATTTAAAGGGCAGAAGTGTCTGCTTCCATACCTTCTGGAGGCACTCGAATGCAATCTGTTGATATCGATCCGTTATTGACGGTTCCATTGGTCATGGCATACAAATCCGGGGTAACTTCCTGTATTTGCGGCTCTGGAGGGCTACACAAAGTCTGCACGCAAAGGTGCAGCTTCATGTAATCGTCGCTAGATATCCATATGCCTGGTCTCTTGTTGTGATAGAGCTTAGTGTACATGTAAACGTCGACTTTGTTATCGTAAATCAGATGTTTCTTGAGGGTGGTGAGGGCACAAAATGAGGCAGCTTCGGTGCCTCCAAAACTGAAAAAACAACCCACATATTACTGAACGCAACTCAACATATCAACGTAAGAATGGTTTATTTGCCAACATTGACAGAGATAGAGATCGACACTCTAGACTGGTAGCCTTGTAAGTCTCAGCCGATAAACGGTCGTCTGATAAGCGTGAATATGTCTTGTCTTGTCTGCGCATTCGAATCTTATTAATGAGTTTCCCGAGAATATACAGCGTGTCTACTGTTGGCTACATATGGGAAACATTTGTATCATCAATTTTACGAAAAAAGTATATAATACTATGAAACTATGATTGGCTCAATCAATATTTTTGATTGATTTGGAAGAGAAATAATGAAGACTAAGATATTTGGTGAAGGAGTTCACTTGTGCATTTGAGCAATACCTGACTCACCGATCAACAATGATAATGGGTCCATTCTGGATTTTCTGCATATCTAGTACAAAGTTTGGTAGATGATACAGTTCAGACAGAGATGCAACTTGATGGGGCCAGTTGACACAATGCAACATCTTGACGGGAATCTCATAGTCATCCTGTACAGATTTCATGAGGAATTCCCGGAGGAAGTAAGCAGAAGTGCCATTTTCGTTGGTCTGTTTGCAGATGTAAGTGTCGGTTTCGATGGCTTCGTCTCCTTCCGGCCAAAAAACTTCGTATTCCGAATTATCGATATAGCTAATCATGACGATGAGTTGTGCACTGTGATCCCACACCATTTGCCAGAAGTCATGAATGGTGTGCTTGAACGGATGCTGAGTAATAATGAATTCTCGAAGGCTGTGGAAGCCCTGAAGCCAGCTAGCATTTATGTAATCGGATCCGTCTTCACCAGGCTTGGGAGTTAGATGAACACGAGCGCTTTCTACCGGCAAAATGACAGCACACCTGTTTTTCGATTGGTTCACTGGTTTGTTGGCCGATACCAGGTTGAAATCACGGCACACAAAGCTGGTGACTAGCTGCAAATGATTCATGTGATATCAATGACGTAGTATGCCATAACAGTCAAATCACTTACTCTGAACTGGACATCTAATGGTTTCCATAGCTCGTTTTTATCTTCGAGATTAGGATTTTGCAAGACTGAAACGTATCTGGGAAATTTCTCACGACCAATGTTTGTTTCACCACATTCGATGGCTTCCACCAACGAGTCGTGGATGAATATATATTGTTCTTCAGTTTGGACTAAGAAATTGCGTTGAGCTCGAATGTGCTTCAGAAAACCAAATATGTTCACTTCACCCCTAGCTCGAATTTGCTTCAACATGGCATCCAATACTATGTAAGTTCCTGTTCGACCCACTCCGGCACTGAAACAAATTTAGTAGACTTCCAGTAAACTTATTGGTCAAAACTCATGAAATAAAGTTCAAATAAGCTCTGATTTTTCAGATCTCAAAGATATTATACAGGAAACCGTCAAAAGCCCACCAGTTCGTGTGAAAATACCCAACACCATAATTACAATATCTGTCTGTAGCTTCTTATATAAACATCGTTTCGCTCTCGTCTATGCATAATCAACAGGACATTTTTTGTCCTTGAACGTATTGGCTTATACTAACCTGCAATGAACAACAATGGGACCACTATCTGTGGGATTAGCTGCTGAAGATTTCTTAATAAAGTGAATTACTGGCAAAGGATGATCTGGGGTGCCATGATCAGGCCAATTAGTGTAATGATACTGATAAACTGTTTTCTCAGCTAACGCAGCTTTCTTTTTACTCTTAATCTGAAAACAAAAATTATTCAGAAGAAAGATTTCAGCAAGTTGAAAATACTCACGCTTACTCTGAGATGTCTGATTGAAAGAGTTCTGACAGTATAAGTGGCCATGATATCTTCTTTGACTAGTCTTACTTGAATCATCCCGTAAGTTTCGGTACCTTCCTTAGGCCAATACATATCACATTTCCTCTGAAATTCCGCATAATCATTGAACGAAACCCTTAGCCTGATATATCTACTTACCCGCCCCCTCTCAACTAAATTAGTGATCATCACAATTATAGTAACCCTTTGTTCCCAAACCATTCGCCAAAAACAATCAAAAGTGGAAGGTAGTGGACCTTGAGTACCAATATACGCTTTGTTCATTTGAAAGCCATCAATATAATTGGCGTTGATATAGGTTGAAATCTTTTGGCCACGCATTGTCAATAAATGGACTCTAGAATGGTCATCTGAAAATAATGTCCCAGTCATAAATAACATTCAGGAAGTCTAAAGGTCTTGTCAAAAGGACAACAACTTATCCAGTGCAAAATATGTTTATTACATTAAAATGAATGATATAATAATTATAATAATGTTCATTGCATACTTGAAAGAGTTCTATATAACTAACTTGTTTGTCCTGCATTGCAACTAGTGTAACTTTTAAATATATAATTTTTAAGACATTTTGAATAAATATTTTTTTCAATGGAGTAATCACTTTCTATGTATGACATTTGACCTATGTACAATACATTTTTATCGACATTTTTTTGTATAATAACATCAATAAACTATTGATTGATTGATTGATTGAGGTTCGATCCGTCAATCAATAATGCAAGTTATTAATTCTAAAACTTCGTAATTCGGCTGGAGATGGTCTCGTACAATTCACTGTTCAAATTCATCATAAAAATCGAGTGCTGCTTCTAAAGTGGTTAGTAGCAAAGCCTATTTATTGTAATTGATTTCAATTCCAGTGGAATTATTGTGGTTTGATGTGAAATGACAAGTTCAGAGAACATGCATAGTTCACACACGTAATTTTTTGAATTTGGTGATCAATTTAATGAAATCCATAGGATTTTTTGTGAATAAATGCCATAAATTTTTACAGTCATTGAAAGGGATACAATTAAAGGAGAAGTTGAGCTCCTAAGGTTGTGGTCGGGATGAAAGTGACTGACCTCTCACCCACATGACCTAGTTTACATTGGATCATTGGTCAATTGAAGTTTCGGTAGTAAAAATGAATAGTACCTACATTGTTCGATACACTAATAAGCACGCCAATTACAAATATGTGAGAATGAATACAATGAGGGTTTTCAGGATCAGAGATTATGATTCTTTCAACAAAATTTTGAAATTCAAGATGGCGAACCAATATGGTGGAAGTTTTGTAATTATGATCCGATTTTATTCAAAATGGGTATCTGGGGGTTTGCGATGTCGGGGATAATGATTCTTTTCTCGAAATTGGGAAATTCAAGATGACGGATCCAATATGGTGGACGCGTTTTGTAATTATGATCCGACTCTATTTGAAATTTGTATCTGGGGGTTTTCGGAATCGGAGATTATGATTCTTTTGTCAAAGCTTCGTAATTATGATCCGGTTCTACTCAAAATTGGTATTTGGGGGGGTTTTCAGGGTTGGAGATTATGATTCATTCGTCAAAATTGGAAAATTCAAGTACATGATCCGATTCAATTCAAAGTTGGTATCTGAGGATTAACGAGATCGGAGATTATGATTCTTTCATCGAAATTGGGTACTTACAAAAAATATAAGAACACTTAAAATCACGCTTTTGTAGTTGACAGAACCAATAAATAGAAAATAAATAGTAGTTTGAAAATCTAAAGAAACCCTTTTATAGATAGTGGAACTAAAAAGAAGGAGAAAATAAAATAATACAGAAGTTCAAAAAAAATTCCAATACCTACCTCCTATCCCTATCCTCCCTAGGAACGCACGATGTTCTTTGAACATTATAGGGATTCCCTTTCGTGCGCTCCAAGCGATAAAAAAATAAAAAAAAAAAAAAATTGTGTTGATAAATACACAACATAGAATGGACTGATTACGGCGATGCTAATATTTTCTATGTTGTGTATTCATCAACACAATTTTATTATTTTATTTTCAACTTCTTTTTAGGATGACTATCTATAAAAGGGTGTTTCTTCAGTTTTTTAAACTATTATTCATTTATTTCATGTCCATTAGTTTCTTTTCTTCTTCTTTGAGTGAATCACAATAACACGGAGTGGTGTTTAGTGGGCGTACCCTGGCTAGAGTCATATTACCTGACCAATAATGAAACAACATTAAAACCATTTATTCCACCTATCGCCAAATGGCGGCCATGACGGTACGTTTGAAATGAGCTCGGAAATCCAACGATTTGCATACTCATTATTTACATAAAAAAAGCGTGAGAAGTGTTGCAAAAACTAATTCAGGTCCTCAACGACACAGTGGAGTAACTGAATGCCAATAACTCATCATCAGTCCACTCGCCCAAGAAAAAAAAATTAACCACCTCAACTCTGTTGAAAATATGAAAGCACAATATAAAATCACTTACAAGCAATGATATTCAGATATCTATTTTTGGGTTTATTCTCAGGGTGTTGGGAATGTTCTGAACTATTCACATCATTGACAGCATCATTCTGAATGGCTTCATATTCTTTGCTAAAACCAATATCACCATCAGCATGCAGTTCTTGGACATGCCTGGCAAAAAGTGCCACTGGAATAGGTCCGATATGATCAGCATCAGGTTCAGGGGTTATATTCCAATCAAGTGCAGCTGTAGAGCACTGAGGATTGTCTAGATAGTAATATGGGGCTCGAAAACACTTCCTGAAAACCAAAATTGAAATAAGAACCTCTCATAGGCAAAACAAGATATTGAATAATAACTTCCCAGATCAGCCTTTCAAGAAGTCATGGAAACACCATTATAGTATACATAATTTATGTTAATAAGTGAGGTAGTAGCTCAAAAGTTAATTTGAACATTTATGAGATCTCAGACTCATTGCCATGTGATTAAAGTAATTATTCTAATTTTTCCAAATCACCATCAATTCAGTTTTAAAGATTATCAACCCAAGTTCTTAATTTCAAAAAATATGTATTCTTTAATATTTCATGTCCAAGGACTTATATATTTTTTATATAATTTATCATTAATTGAATGGAGATGATTTTCAAAATGAATCCCATATGAGTAACTATCATTTCTGCAACATTTACGAATTTTAATGGAATCGCATTTTAGGAATGTATTTTTTTAATTTGATTATATACAGGGTGGGCCACTAGTGTGTCAAATTGAGATCACAGATTAACTATGAGGTCAGGTAATATGTGGTATGATCTTGCTCTGCAATTTGGGAAAAAATTAACAGATATAAGTAATAGGTATTTTTGAAATAATTCACCATTATGCAGTGTGACTAAAAAAAATATAATCTATATATAGTATAAGTATAAGTTATACTTTTCCTATAAAAAAGCATCCTATATGTTGGAACATATCTAGATCCTCATTCAATTAAATGCTTTCTGCTTAAGACTTAACTTTCACACTTTTACACTTTTACCCACACAACAATTATTAGAAGCAAGTCTCATTTTGTTGAGATGAAGATTTTTACTCTGTCCTATAAACTGTAAAATGGATAAAATTCTATGAATACATGGAAAAAGAAAAAAAAACAAACAAAAATGGAACACAAATTTACAATTACAACCCCAAAAACAAGGATTTGTATAGATTACCACAAGTGAATAACTCTAGAATAATGAGGCAGACTGAATATCTGCCTCTGATAATATATATCACACCAATGGATTGGAAGGTCTATTCCACAAGAAACTCAAATACCTACTAAAAAAAATTGTTACTCCTGAATCCTTTGTATGATCTTAATGACATATTTCTTCATGAAGAGCTGGAGATGAAATGACTGACTTGTTCACTTATAAAGTTGGTTTTTGATAGGTGTGAAAATCAAATGTATGATATTTGTCTATCTATGGTCACATGGTCTTTATGTGATCCAATATATACTTTTAATGTGTCAATGTTACTTTTATTGATTTGAATCTATCAATTTTGATGTACCCAAAGAAAATCATTTGTGTACTGGCTCTACCTGTTAACAAAAAATGATTTTGTTGTATGAAGGCAAGTAAATATCTTATCTCATCTAACCATATTAAATATTCATAACTATTTTTTTTCAAGTGGAATACTTTCTATTTTTTCATCATTGAACAGTTGTCTAGAAATTTTTATCAGTAGGTGGGTCAGTATATCAATACTTTATGGTCTGGCTATTATAATTATTTATGAGAAATACCTTCCATCTAACACTGATGGCACATTCTTTGTCTTCAACTCAATCTGAGAAAGAATAGATGGTGAAGCTAGATATTTCATTTCATACTCAGCAATAAACCATTTGGTAAAAATCACAAGAATATTAATGTGTTTTCACCTCCAAATTAAAAATCCAAGTCCTGCAAGTACCAGAGCCATAGCTGCACAAAGTATGCCAGCAACAATTCCAGCACCCAGTTCACTAGTGGTATGAGACATATAATCTATTTTATCACAGTTCCGGGATATTGACTCAGCAGAGATTTGTCCCATAATCAACCTATGAGTACGGTTGCTCCTTGTTGAAGCTTGAATCTGCACTTTGTAGTCAGCATCTGGAGTAACATTTTTCAGTGTGTACTGAAAATTTCAAAGTGTATGAGCCTACATAGTATTCAATTATAGAATGTTTCTAACTAGCATTACATAAATTGATCAACCTGATTTACATTTCAGGGAATTTTACACTACATTAGGCAAATATTTGAAACATATAATTACAAGTTGATCTTTCATATTACCGACTTGAGTAGTTAGGCATCATGATTCAAAACTCTGCCTTTGAATATCAAATAATGAATGAAAAGCTTTGCACCATTGGCTACAGCCAGTTTTTTTACATCATCCATGCTCCATGCATTCAATCAATCACATCATGTAGTACAGTCATTGAATGCATTTGTTTTTTTATTGTGAACTCACTGCAGTCTCAAGGTGTTCTTCAGTGGTGGAAATGGTAATATTATCATAGAGGTGATTCCCAAGATTCACATAAATATAGTAATAGTCTATAGAATAATAGAAATTTGCTGGTCTCTCCCACTGTATATAAATGGTTTCATTGGCCTGGCAAGACAAGTTGAGCACCTTAGGAGCTGTAGGCCCACTAATATCTGTTGTGGCTATCACAGACTCTGATGGATATCCCTCATGCTTTTGAGTGAATGCTTTCACAAATATTGTATACTCAGTTTTTGGCTCTGTAACATGAGAGTAAGGGAAAAAAGGATATGATATTTAGCAATACTCACCCAGTTTTGTCAAATTGTAGTGAATGAGTGGATTATCATAGGGAATTTTGTCTGGTTGCACTGCAGTATAATTGTTGTTCATGTAGTAAACTCTATATCCTTCAATAACACCATTCATATTTTCAGGGTTAGCCCATTGTAAATAGATGCTGACTGAAGTGAAATCCAAAATAGTCAAATTTCTTGGTTTGGCTGGAACTGCAAAATCGAGAGTAATGGTAGTGGTAGGTGTGTCAGTTGTGAATGAATTTTTCTTATAGCCAAAATCTAAACCATATACAGTTGTAGTAGTCTCCGGAATACTATTTTGAGCTATTGTTTCAATAATTGCGATGCATATATATACAAGAGCATGACCCATCATCATTACAACATTTATTGGAGAAGAGCCGGATTGTTAATTAATCAGTGAGAATCCATTTGGCACCCAAATCCATTCCGCTGTAGCATTTTCAACATTACATGCAAATTTTGTTGAAAATAGGCTTGTATTGATTCATTCGGATCCAACAAAACTGGAAGGAAAACAGTTTATTGTATTTATTTGTAATAAACACCAACCAACGCACCACCCAACCAAAACTGTGGACATTATACGCGATCGCGAACGGCGAACGGTGAACAGTGTTGCCAGGAGAAAAAAACTAATTGTACTGATATAGCTATTGAATTGTACTAAGATATTGTACTTAAACCAGGTGTAATGTACCAGATATGCGATTTTGAAAAAATCGATGACAAAATTGATGAACAATGATTTTTATTTTTCATTGCCAGAAATGACTACATCATATACATCATATACATATGAAACATGAAAAAAATGGAAATAATGAAATGAAACAAATGTTCAATCAATTACATAGCCAAAAAAATACTAGACAAACTATACAGTGTCATCCATGAAAGATGACGTATATAAAAAAAATATCTCATGAGTTACACAAACGAACATACCTGAATAGTCATGATTTCTCTCATTTTGGCTGATAACCATCAGTCACGGCAACTGTAGAAACAATAAGAAGCAGACGTTTTGTCAGTGATTCAAACTTTTGTTTTTCTCTGTAGCTTTGTGTGATAAATGTTCAATTATTGTAATAAATTTGAGCTGAATGTACTGACCAAAACCTGAAGTTGTACTGAATCTTTACAAATGTAGTAGCTCTGGCAACACTGACGGTGAACGAGCGGAGATGGTCTTTCGGCACAGAGTTTGACAGAAAATCAGGAGTCAGGAGTGCGGTTAGTGTAGTGCAGTTCACTTTTGTTGCTGTTGTTATAATAGACCCTTTTTTTTGTACGAAAAGTGCAGCACATTCGTACACTTCGTGTGGTTTACACCTTATTTGAGCTTTCTTTTGAAAAGTGCATTTCACTCCAGTGTAGTTTATCTCGACCTGGTCTTGGGCAGGTGTGAATGACACTCGAATTAAATAATTAATAAAATCGCGATAAATGACTCGAAATACATATTATGTTATTATATTTTTATCAGATATAACACCTGTACTGGGAAATCAGTTGAATCAAATACCACATTTTAATATTAACTCTGTTCACTTTTGCAGTTTTCCTCATCAATCAAATTTTCTTCATTCGTTTGAAATTCGTCGGTGTAGCTCATGGACGTATACGTCCACGGTGTAGCTGCACGAAATATCAGCTGATTCATTGTGTAGTGCATCTTACACGGCACTGAAAAGCAGACGAAAGAACCTAATCTATTTGTGTTTCATGCGTGCCGATTTCAGCTACGCGATTTATTTACGACTACGAATTATTTTGAACTTTTAAGGATAACTCTAGATCTGATCACAGAACTCAAAGACCGATCTGATTCAGTTTTGATTTTTTCTCTCAGAATTTCTTCATCCTGTTATCTACTGATGCATTTGGCAACATGGCCCAGCAAAGTAAAGAAGAAGACGTAGAGCGTAGGTCAATAAAATTTCAGAATCAAGTAACAAGGAAAGATTCAAATAATATTCACTTCCTGTTTCCTGTTTATGTTATGATATTTTATGATTTTTATGTCCACCTCGGCGTCCATTTTCAATAATCCTATAAGCTATAAGTTGAAATTCGAAAGAATGTGGTAGTACAACTGTGTACCGTTTGTAACTTGTATAGAAGAGTTGACCGACAACTTGCACGGTGAGTTTCATGTCATATTTTCTTATCGGGACTATATATTATTATTTCATTCTACCCAAAAAAACTATCTTAGGAATGTGATGGGGATGGGATGTGATGGTGAAACCGGTGAAGGACAAGGAGTTGACATGGAGTTTATTATCGTTAGATTTTTATCAGTCTATTTTGGTTGAAAATTCAGAATAAAGTTATTTACAGCCATTTTACAGCCTCTACATCAGATTTAATTCATATTTCTCAATCTTTTGCTATAATAGGTAGGTAGTATTTTTTGAAAATTTCAAACTATAGTGGCTGCCTGATTGCTGTGAAGCTAAGGTAGTCTATGTAGCCATGTTACATCAGATACCTATACCATCGCATGCATAATATGGTATATATTATGATGGTTTGATGTAATTTTGGATTGTTTCAGGATTCTTATCTGGGAGAAGATATCAGCATGCCAAATATTGTTCCATTCACAATGGATATTACTGATGAATATCCCCAAGAAAATGAGAAAAATTACTACCTTTCACAAGAAATTTCCAAAAATTTTCCAGAACAATGAGTCACATGGTGGATTTTTTTGTAATAATTGTTCTTTCTGTAGGAATTTCATCCAAATAGTAAGTTTATATATATATATATACGGTGTCCCAGAACAATGTATACTTATACCATAAATTCTACAGGGTGAGATCTAGTGACCAAAATAGGCCACTTGAAAGTCAACCTCTACCTCTATAGGAAAGTGCACCAATAATATATGAGAGGGTGTTGGAACAATAATTTTAGTAATTTTGCACTAATCATGTGATGGGTTTTTTTTGAAAATTTTTTTTGGTACTCGCGTATTTTTGTCTGAAAAACACGAATTTGATAATGAAAATGTGAACATACCACTATTTATATGGAGATATTCCCAGAAAAATTTCGAAATTTTGCCTTTTTTCCTCCTTGTGGTGGATGCATTTACAGGTACTTGCTCTTTTTATTTTGTCATTGGACACTTTATATACTCATAATGTACTTCAATAACACATTTTAATATAGAAAATTCAACAGGAAATATGATTTTTAAGGCGAGTTCTTCCTATTTAGTGAGCAAGCATACCAGATGACGGCCATTTAATCCATAGGCAATCCAAATACGAGATGTCAAATGTCAATAGATTGCTTTGGAATGACATTACACACGCCATTATTTCAAATGATTTTCTTCCTTCTTTTCACTAAACATGGATAAATCACAACAAATCATATAATTTCTAGTTGATTCATATAATAAAAAAAATGTGTCCAACATTGTGTGATATATATAAATTGTCCAATGATGGAAAAAGAAGTGCAAATTGTTCTAAATGTGATCCAGGAGACCGGCGGAAAAGAAGGTGAAATTTGTAACTTTATCGTGAAATATCTTAATAAATAATGGTTTGTTCACATTTTAATTATCAAATTCGTGTTTTTTAGAAAAAAATACGTGAGTACAAAAAAAAAATTTCGAAAAAAAACCCATTGCATGATGAGTGCAAAATTACCAACATTTTGTTTCCAGATTTCTTGAATATTTCAAAACTTTAGAAGGTGCTGCTCAACAATTTGTAGTGGGAGTTATACTATCCTGAATGTGCATGAAAAACATGTCATAAAACTGCAGATTTTGTATAATTTTGTTTATGATGTGTCAGGGTTATCATGTTTTGCAAGTTTCTACCTGCTCATTTTTGATGATTTATTTACAACAATAATCATGTTGATGTGGCCTACAAGGCCAGTGGACTATTCTTTTTTATTTCTTAAATAGAATCATCACTCAAATACCTTTGAATTTCATATTTTTCAGAAATATTAGTTATTGGATGAATCATAAATTCTCCATTGAGTATTGGTAATACTTCTAATTAGCAATAAAAATTCAATTGTCCAAAATGTTTCCTCATGATTTGTGTCTAATTTCTTATAATACATTTGTGTAAATAATAATTATATTAATTAATTCACATTAGAGGACATTTGAATCGGCGAACGTGACAACCACGGCGCACGACTTGTGGACGTGGTCTTGTCAGCATTCAGCACAATGTTGCCAAGTCTCCAACATTCACATGATATTCTGTAATGGAGAATAATAAACATTTGGACATGCTGATGGTTGCTTGAAAAAATCAAGAATGAACTATAACATAATGGGTTCCTCTTCCTCCTATATATGTTCTATTTAACTCTTAACATATTTTTGATAACTTGATTATAATTGGTGACTTGACAACCTCGCTTCATGAGTGGAAATGGAAGATTTTCTGACCAATAACGAAACAGCATAAAAACTGACGTCACCGCATTTATTCGACGTATCGCCAAATGGCGGCCATAAAAGTTCGTTTGAAATGAGCTCTGAAATTCAACAATTTCAAACAACGTATATATATATAGACTCATTATTTACATAAAAAAAGCATGAGAAGTGTTGCAAAAATTAATTTAGGCTCCTATAACGACACAGTGGAGTAAATGAATGCCAATAATTCATCAGTCCACTCGCCCATTATGATAAAGGTTGTTGGTCTACTACAAATTTTTTTTTTTAAAAAGTTTTTTACGAGGAATAAAGAATGAAATTTTGAATCGATCAGCTCCTTAGATCAAATATATGATGATGAGGTTGTGAAATGATAAATGGATATTGTGGTCAATAACTCAACACAAATGAGCAGGTAGTAGTTGCAAAATATGATAGAAGTAAAATCCTGTTATAAACAAGAATGGAGATGCACCAACATTAGTGTAGGGTAGGTAGGCGGTACCCTCACAGGTTGATTTATCAGCACAAATTTTATAAACCCCCCCTATTGTTATAAATTATAGATAAATACCATAAACATTTTTTCTTCAATGTGCTAGAATCAAACTGTAAATCATCTCCGCAACGTTTAATTTCCTGTTAAGGATCAAATAGGGAAACAGTCTACTCCTCTTTGAGTCAATTTCTACCCCAAAATTTTCCTACTGAAACAATGTATGTACATTCTGCATTTGGCATAACATGGCAAAGCAGATTTGAGAAGAAGACGTGAAGCTGGCGTCGTTGGTGTAAATAAAATTGACAGAATCAAGGAACAAGGAAGGATTCAAATAACAAATGATATATTATTCACTGGTTTTGTTATTTGTGTCATCTTGGGATCAATTTTTCATAATAGAATGAATTGAAATTTGAAAGAATGTTACTGTTTGTACTTATGTAGAAAAGTATTGATGATTCAACGGCGTTGAACGACAAACTGCACGGTGAGTTTCATGTTATTTTTTTCTTACCGAACTATTTTATTCTACCCAAAAAACTGTATAGATGTAGGTACACAACTTTCAGACCACAGGTGATGGTGAAACCAGTGGAGGACAAGTTGACTGGAGTTCATATCATCAGATCTTTCGTCCATTTTAGTTGAAAATA